GGTTCTAGTTTGGTTAATACGGATGAGCCAACTTTTGGGGATCATGCATTGCTACCTTCAGCTTCCCGTAAGAGGCATGTGTCACCTCCTGATGCACATGAAGTTCCAAATGGTACGTGTTGAGGTTCTTGGGGCACCGCAAGCCCCCATTGGAGGACGACCATCTGAATTATTGTTGTTGCATCTAAATTTGCACCATGTTGTCAGACATGTGTGGGGAGGACGTAAAATTCAATTAAACTCATTATTGGAAACACATTTCTTATAACATTTAAAGTTTCTGACGATGATTTATTTTTCTGTAGGACCTTATGCTTTAAAATGCACCAATCATGGGCGAAATATTAGGGGTCTGTTGCATGTTGTTGAGTTGTGATTTCAGGATGTGATGCCACTGTCTAAGTTACGATACTTGTGCAAGACTAGTTATATTACAATTAACCACGGTATGTTGTCCCAATTTATAGAGAGATGGAAATCTGAGACATCATATTTACATATTCTACATGGTGATATGTTTATCACCTCAGATGATGTATCATGCCAGATGCATCTTCTGATCAGGGGAAGACTGTTAGACCACACCCAGATTATTAGAGACGAGACAATGATGATGATGATAGTGTCCTATCTAGAAGTTGACCCATGGATGCCTTGCAGAATTTAGAAGCAACCCGAGGGTGTCATGCTAGGTTTTAATTCTTAAAAAGGTTGTATGCACATTTGCTTTATGCGACATAGCAGGATGTTGCTGATGATGAGAAGGTTATGCAACAAATCATATGCATTTAGACCACACCTGTTATAATTGGTTGACACGTCTCTTTTTAGGGACAAGAGTGTACCTTATGAGGATGTGGTTTATCTAAGATACTTTGTTGATTTGGAGTGAATCTATGGGTACAATTGCGAGCCGCTTATTTGTTCTACATATACTCCAAGTTAGATGAAGGTTGTATGTTGAAAACCAAATAGAGGACACACAGTTGCACACTGTTGATAGTAATATATTTGCATATTTTAGTGTTTGTATGTCATTTTCATAACAATTGTGCTACGCCATTACTAATAATTCATATTTACTATTTTCGGGCTTGGATCCTCCTGCACTTTCCGCAAATATTTGGTTGGTCATATATTTTTACCTACAATGAGGATATTCAATGTGCTTCTGCCTCTGCCCAACTCATAGGGAATCATGTGACTGGGCCCTTCAGAGTGTATCTTAACCGCTTGGTAGAAGAAGATATACACTTCTATACGTACACTGATCACCAATAGATATAACCTTTTATTCTTGAGGGTTGGCTTACGAATCACATTTGAGTATCCACATCTATCTGAGTGTGTTGTGCGGTATTTCGACTACATGCAATGTATCCCTATAGACCCCTCATATTTTGCTCCTCCTACCATGGTCTGTAGAGATGTGGATGCTAAATTTGATGGTTACCTTAATAATTTGGTACCGGATGAGACACGTGGTACCCTAGCTCATAACGAATAGAGTGTTGCATACGGCTACATCTAGTGGTATTTTAGAGTATCATATCCTTATATGACATCCGATGCTCTGAGTGATCCACCTAGATATGGCATCTTCTGATCAGGGGAAGACTGTTAGACCACACCCTAATTATTAGAGATGAGACAATGATGATGATGATGGTGACCTATCTAAAAGTTGACCCATGGATGCCTTGCAGAATTTAGAAGCAACCCGAGGGTGCCATGCTAGGTTTTATTTCTTAAAAAGGTTGTATGCACATTTGCTTTATGCGACATAGCAGGATGTTGCTGATGATGAGCAGGTTATGCAACATATCATATGAATTTAGACCACACCTGTTATACTTGGTTGATACGTCTCTTTTTAGGGACAAAAGTGTCCCTTATGGGGATGTGGTTTATCTAAGATACTTTGTTGACTTGGAGCGAATCTATGGGTACAATTGGGAGCCGCTTATTTGTTCTACATATACTCCAAGTTAGATTAAGGTTGTATGTTGAAAACCAAATAGACGACAGACAGTTGCACACTGTTGATAGTAATATATTTGCATATTTTAGTGTTTGTGTGTCATTTTCATAACAATTGTGCTACGTCATTACTAATAATTCATATTTACTATTTTCGGGCTTGGATCCTCCTGCACTTTCCACAAATATTTAGTTGGTCATATATTCTGACCTACAATGAGGATATTCAATGTGCTTCTGCATCCGCCCAACTCATAGGGAATCATGTGACTGGGCCCTTCAGAGTGTATCTTAACCGCTTGGTAGCAGAAGATATACACTTCCATACGTACACTGATCACGAATAGATATAACCTTTTATTCTTGAGGGTTGGCTTACGGATCACATTTGAGTATCCACATCTATCTGAGTGTGTTGTGCGGTAGTTCGACTACATGCAATGTGTCCCTATAGACCCCTCATATTTTGCTCTTCCTACCATGGTCTGTAGAGATGTGGATGCTAAATTTGATGGTTACCTTAATCATTTGGTACCGGATGAGAACGTGGTACCCTAGCTCATAACGACTGGAGTGTTGCATACGGCTACATCTAGTGGTATTTTAGAGTCATATCCTTATATGACATCAGATGCTCTGAGTCATCCACCTAGACCAGCTCATCAAGAGATACTAGAGAAGGAGCAGGCTATGGCAACTCATATTGTTGATATGTTATATAGATGTCAACGTATTGTGGAGCTTGGTCAGACAGGTATATACACAAGAGTCTTTTCGAAAGGCTCTAAGGTGAGGAACATTCTAGATGCTATTATGGAGGAGAAAGAACGACACTGCAGTATAGAAGGCAACGTAGGAAAAGGGTGCATGAATCCGACATACGCAGTAGTATATATTATTTGTATTATGGACATTATTATCGTTTGTAATTTATTTTAACTTTATTATGTATTCCAAATTTATTCATTTTGATATGACATTTTCATATAATTTAATAAGTATATGATTTAATTTATATAGAATTTAATATGATAGTATATCTATAATACATAGTCAATCACATCAGTGTATCACTAACACAAAGTTAAAATTTACTGTTTGGTACAAATACGAAAATACATCTTTGAATTTTGTCTGTAGTGAATACGGAGGTGCATCTCCATGTCAAAGAAGAAAACTCGGATACAATTTTTTATGTGTGATTTTTACTATTTTCCAATAAAAATGTGACAAATATACTTAAATATTGTTTAGGAAGTAAAAATAGGAGAAAATTATATGTAAGAGAAAATTACACAATTGTTAAAAAATAATAAAAACCACACCTAAAAAATTATATATAAATTTTCTCCTTATATAAAAAAAATTGATTATTTTAAAATTTTGATATGACATGTCAGCCTATTTTTAAAAAAAAAAAACTATTTCATATAAGTATATTTAAATAAATATCTTAACACATTTAAATTATATATAGATTAAGAGTTAATAATATATGAAATTAAACTTTATTTCAATTTTCAAGATGATATTTAGAGAGTTTAACTATATATATTTCATTATATTTCAATTATAGTTTACAATGCTAAAATTTTACGTGGCCTTATAAAATCAAGTTATTATAGATGTTAACAAATTTATAATTTTATAAAAGATAACTATAGTGATAAAAATGTTAATTTATTTAAGTAGGCACGTCAGATAAATTTTAAAACGCATTTGAACAAGCTTGAAGTCTGGTCTTTTTTATTTATTAAACTCCTAAAAAAGTATGAATTACTCTATTTAAAAACCAAACTTGAAAATTTGTCAATTCAACTTTAAGTGTTGAAATCTGTCAAAATATGCTTTTAAAAATATCCTTTCATTAGTATACTTTCTGTCAAAAAACACTGCCAAAAGACAAATATTCTGGTAAGCTCCCCATATTTTAAAAGCTGAATTGAAAACTATACTATTCTATTATCACTCCTACAATCCCTTGTCCTCGTAAAAATATTACCAATTCTGAATATCTTTCTTTTCAATTCAATGACTAGTTGAAGAACTTCACATTACATTCAACTGATGAGACTTATAATTTATTTTAACTGGTGATGATGGACCGTGCTAGATAACATTTCTTTAGATAATTGGGATTATAGTATGAAGAAATGCAAAATTCATGAGATCACTGGATCAAAACTTCATTATCCACCACCAATTATACCTGAAAAAATTCAGCTCACATTTCTTTTGTTCGAAATAAATGACATGCCTGGCTCTGTCATAAGAATGTGAACAAATAATTGTTTATTATATTTTATTTTGCAAGTTAGATAGCTAGTATCAACGGAAAGAGAGATAGATAGAACAAAAACGCCCATGTCATATGATATGGATTGATAATGCTTAGGAAAAATCAGCTCTCTTTTTGGAGGTAGACCAGGATGGAGCGGCCATATACTTAACATTATGCAAACATGGAAACAAAGGCCAATAACAAATTGCTACCAAACCCCAATCCTCAACAGAATCTGTGAAGGGCGGAACAAAAGCTGAAAATTCCGGGGTCCGGCGACCGGCATATCCTTCCTCTCCTACTCTGCTCCCCTAGTGGCTAAATTTAAAACACAAATATAACAACTATTAGGATATGCAACATTTGAACAAAGCTGATAAAATAGTTATTAATAAACATTGAATCAGAAGGACCTAACTTTAAAATATCAAATTAAGCCATCCCTATCATTTTCCACAGATTTACTATATGCCCATTTGTCATATATCAGCCATGGGCATGATATTCACCAAAAGGTCCAACGTATATATATTCCTTCACAATCTTCTAAGAATATTTGCACCCCAGGTCAACCCAAAGACACCATACCATATATTTGTCTATTTTTGTAAATGCTTTTGTCAAATAAAAATCAACTTGTCATTTTCCACACAACCGTATGTAAATAGAAAAAGAGAGAGAGTACCAACTTCACTATATTGTTGTCCTTTTCAATAAAATGCCAAGCATTGAGGATTGGTTACAGGCTCAGATTATTGTCTTCGTCTGAACTTTCCCCATAAATCACTGCATCTTGTCCTTCCTCATTTCCACTACCATGATCGCTGTTGTAGCTGCCTTCAGATGTACTCATAAAAATTGATCCATCTGATAAGGGGCTACTAAGTTGTGATAACAGACTTATATCACTATTCATATCAGTATCAAATGTCTCGACATAGCTGCAACACAATTAGCTACTTTCAGAATGAAAATTTTCAAAACAAAAAATCCTCCATATTTGAAAAGATATCTAACCTTCCTTCAGATGGATATTCAGCCACCACACGCATATCAGGTCTTGCTTCCAAAACCTGCTTAATAGGCATAATGCTGCAACGCATAACCCCAAATATGTAATTAAATACATAAGAAACGACAGCTGTCATTCAGAAAATTAAAGAATTGCATCTGATAATCAATACCTAGAGTTGTAGCACCTGTGATACCAGTCAGCCTCACATGCTAAGCCTTCCCTATTGGATATGTCCTGTTTAATCGCAAGAGCGAAATATTAGATCAAAATTGAGAATCAAGAAGAAATTCTACTCATTTTTAGAAATCCAAATTCTTCCATGTACCCACAAGATGTATAAGCAATTTGAAATCTCCTTCAAGAATTGCTGTCAACATCCTAGCAACTTCCATCTGCACATGAATTATTAGCATTTCAAAGACGGAGGTTTAAAAATAAAATAAGGAAACTAGAAATGATTTACAACCCCACCTCTTTGAGATGCATGCAATCCCTTAAAATTAAGACCTCGAGCAAATTCCCACCGTTGGAGCTTCCAAGGTTTCTGACAAATCAAGGTTATATATTTTTTCGAAGCAAGCAACTATCTCAAGAGACGGATAGGATCTGAGGGTTCTTGCGAAGCATTGTAAGAAACAACTAACCTTAAGAAATTTCCAGTGATTGAATATGATGCTGAAAAATCAACATATTTCAGTTTCCGAAATCCCTGCAAATGCAATTTGAAATTATATAGGGCTTTAATTCTACTCAGAATCTCAGATAAAAATGAGAATTGGAGAATACCAAGTAGTTTACTAATATTAATGTCACAAACTTTAAGAGTGTGTTTGGATAAGACATTTTAATGAGAGAATGTAATGTTTTGAGGGAATTTAAAACAATTTGTACAAAAATCATTGTTTGGATAAAAAATATGAAGAATTGTTAATATGATGAAAATCTATAAAGTATGTTGCCCAAGTTATATTTAATGATCTTGAGATGACACCTAAAATCAAAGAACTTCAAATTCCTCTCATACTCCATAAAATTTGAATATCAAATTGGTTAATATTATTATTTTAAATTTTGAATATTGATTGCCATATTTTTCAAAATTTTAAAATTGACCCCTAAAACTTCCAAAAAAATGCAAATTGGTCCATAATAATTTTAAATTGGTCCCTTTAACTTTAAAAAATTGAAAATTGGTCCCTACTTTTAAAATTTTAATTTTGGCCCAAAAGTTTAAAATTTATAACAATGACTCCAAAAATCTAACAATGATTTATCTTAATGCTCTATCCAAACAAAAAAATTTAAAAATGAATGGATTTCAATTGAATCATTTGAATTGCTTAGAATTCTAAAGTCCTTAAAAATTCTCAATTGCCTCATCCAAACAAACTCTAAGATATATTTGTCATGTCTTTCCCATAATAGACTCTTTGGTTCAAATAAGAAAAGAGAAAATAAAGTAATACAATATCGCCTTCCTAATTTGACAAGAGGAAAATTCTGGACACGGGTGTGTACCATTGCAAAATTATTATTCAGACAAATTGAATTTGCATCCCAACTATTAAAAGAAGAAAAGAAATCAGTAACTTAAAACTCCCATCAGCTTTTCAAAAAAAAAAAAACTCCCATCTGAAAAGAGCAAAATTGACCACAAGAAAACAAACCGAGTGCATGAATAATTTGCTTCACTTGAGTATTTAGTCCATTTACAACTCTTCTCCCTTTCCCACCTAAATGCCTCAACAAACTTAAGTAAAACGTAGAGATCAGCATTGTATATTGAGGGAAACATATACTCCCTCCAGTTTTGAATACAAGCAGCAAAAAATATAATTACGCATTTGCACTTATTATGATGATATTCTCTTTTAATTTTACTGGTGTAATAAAAAAATATGCTAGTCTCCAAAATGTCCTTCATAGTGAATTGTTTCATAGAAATAAAAAGGTTTTTGGAAAATAAAATATAAATTAGATGAAGAGTACAATTAATTGATGTTTTCTTATATTTTGAACTACCAAACAAGTGATTTATGTTGTTTATATTGAAATTTGAGGGAGTATATTACAATTAATATAATAAATAGATGGAAATTCCCAAGATTAACACATTGAAATTTTAGTGCATAGTCCCAATTGGTGGAGTGTTTATGGACTGGACTTCAGAGATCAAAGCATGGTCCAAAAGTTTGAACTAATGGCCATTAGATCTCTTTTTGCTTAACATTTAGCCTTCTCTATTTTACTCGATGTGGAACTTGTTATTTTAACATTATAAGACACTGCCATAGTTCATCAAAACCTCAAATGGGTACACAATGCAAAGACTGTTGGAAATGAGAACTTAAAACAAACAATGAAAGCATACCTTAACAAGAATGCGAACTTTGCAATCGTGTAGCTTAAACCCTCGAAGAGATAAAGAGGTTAGATGAGGACAATTGTTTACTAGCTCAGAACAGGTTTGCATTTTCAAGCTGTCATCTCTACCTGATAATTAAAAAGAAATAAGCGTGGATATAAAGTGTTCTCAATGGAAAAGTACAGTTGAAAAAATTACATACCTGTTCTGGAAGACTCGAAAAACAAACGCTCAATCAAGTGGCAGTTTGCACTTACTGACATTAGAGTTTGCCTCAGTTCAACATGGCTAGAAGTTAAAAAAATTAACATCAATAAATACATTTGAAACAACCTTCTCGTTCTAAAGAAATGAACTAGCCGAAAACATGAGGAGACAGGAATACAAATACACATCATATAATCCCATGTTGCAAATGAAACTAAAAACTAATAAAATACACCTTTCTTTATTAAAAATAAATATGCAGATACAGCATATCAACATCAGAGCTTATAAGGAAAAGGAAACAAATACAGTAATAAAATCAGCCATCCAAAATTGAAGTCATGGAGGCTTGCAGCAGAAAGAATTCCCAGGCTAACGATGGCATATGGAAATTAATATAGTGCATATTCCAGATCACGGGAAATTAAATTCAACATAAAGAAAGAGTTCAATTTTCTATATGTTTAAACAGTGACACCCTCTTTTCCATAAGCCACTAGCAGTGAGAAATGCTTATAAAGTTATAACTAATGACAATAAGAGTTGAAGTAAACTAACTTACATTCCAACAATTTCCAGATCAAGGAGAGAAGGGCATGCTGACAATGCACAACAAAGGGATGTGTTGTCCATTCTCTCAATGTTGTACAGGTGTAACTTTCTCAAAAGAGCCCTACAAAAATAGAATTTAAGAGGCCGTTCAAACTTAAATCCCAAAAGAAGTACAAAACATCAAAGTCCATGAGAAACATACCCCGGTGCGCCACCCTCTGCGCTTAAAGGGTTTAAACAGCATCTTGTAAGAATGGATGATTCTTTCCCTTGACGAGACCTCTTATCATTCCATGAAAAATTAGGCGCCTCTACAATAGCTTTTCTGACGGGAGAAACCAATGGTTGACAAAATCCAGAAGAACAAACAGTAGCCGGGACAACACCAAGTTTAAGAGACCTGATTAAAAAATTAAAACAGATATAACAAGGCAAAAAGAAACAAGTAAATATAAACTCAAATGGAAAGTTAGTTTTTCCTTTCCAGATAGAAAGAGCTAAATGCTTTTCAGATTGAAAGCGCCAACAAAGTTTACACAGTAATGGACACTTATAAAAGAATAAAATTAATTATGTGTAATTTTAACAGGAACCAAACTTTAGGGCTAGGAGAATGTAGCATATCATAATACAACACGAATCATGAATAGAGGGAGGATAACATTTCAGATGAGGCAGAACATCCAAACAAAATAATCATCATGCAACTAAATTTCCTGTTTTTTTTCCTTACAATTTTACAGGTAAATGCTAATCACAATAAGGAAATGATCTGGCTGGTGGGTGATGATTCAATTTAACATTATCACCAATTACACCCTCAAAATGATCATCACTGCATCTACCTGAAGTTTCCTTGAAAATATTAAATACCACATTGAAGTAAAAGCATCAGTACAGCCCAAAATTCCATACCTTAGTGCCTTTCCAGCTCGCTGAATCATAGTAGCAACAACTGCATTGTTAACCTTAGGAACAAGTGTCGTCAAATCAATATTCTGATAGCACAAAGGATCTTTAGCACATTTGCTAAAAAACGAACAAGCAGCAGATACATAGCACAGGCTCTGAGTATCAAGCATCGAGAAGATCTGCACATCATAAGCGACCATTCACTTTTCAGTACTACAACATGTTCAAAACCTACCTAACAGTTTCCCCCAGTACTAGTCAGTATTTTCACCCGCCTATCACAGAAAATAGCGGTTACACTGGAGTGTTTTAGCGATGTTACATTACATCGGCTATTAGACTGCATTATGTCCTAAATTTTGCATCACAGAACAATAATGATTTGTTAAATTTCAGCTACAATATTTTACAACACTAGTACTAGTAAATATGTAACCGAAAAGTTTATATTCGCTCAGCAGTCAGCACGATCAAGCGAGTACAATCATCATTTGAGTAAAGTGAAAGTATGAAAACACAAACTCGTGCGCGCGCGCATGCATGTTCCTCCACAAACACATTTCAATTTAACAACATCATCTATTTGGATCAAAGACTAAGAAAAACTAGTATCAAATTCAATTCATAAAAAAAAAAAAAAAACACACAACCGTTCATGAACTACATGGATGAGAAGAATATAAATCAAAATCATTTAAACAGCGAAAAAGCAAATCAAAAATCATCTAAAAAAAACACTAAGCGCGATTCAATCGCGAATCGCAAAAAACAGAGGTAGCGTATAATCGAAAATTGCTCTAACCTTGAAGGTGAGATCGGGAGGGAAAGGCCAAACAATCGAATTATGATTGGAAGAGCGTTTGCGAGAGGAGTGTTTAGCGGCATCGAGGAGTAGAGAACCCATTCTGAGAGCGCGATCGATGAGATCGGAGTCAGGGGGCATTGATTGGAGAAGATTCTCTAGGGAGAGATCGAGGGAGAGAGAAGGACGATCGGAAAGAGAGAGAAACTCGTCGAGGAGATTTTCGACCTCCATTCTAGGGTTTTGAGATGGACAAGGTCTCTTCGCCATTGATGATGATGATGATGAAGATGGAATTGGAATCTCAACTTCCTCAACCGTATCCATACCCGCATCAATACATTATTTTTTACATGTGAGAATATAATATCATTATCAGAAGCATCATCATATTACTGTCTCGTGATATGAAATGATTGATTTCACATTCTACACTCACTCAGTAGTTCACTTCAATCACACACTATTTTTTTTTTTAAAATTTCGTGCACATCTTTTAAGTCTCTTACAGAAAATCTTAAAAACACACATTTTATATATTCATATTCAAATTTTATTTTGTCAAAAATAAGGTGATTTCGAATGTATATTTCTGAATTCATCCTATAATTTATTACTTCAAAAATACACATTCGAAGTCATTATATTGTTTTCAAACCACGAGCATAACATACTCATTTTCATTCAAACACAAAAATTTTACATTTCTATACCAAAACCCTTAATTTCTACTATCTAAACTTAAAGAACTCACTCATTTCTACTCATCTCCAAAGCTTCAAATTTGTGTAAGTTTTCTCCATTTCCATTTGATTTATTATGCAATGTTATAATAGTTTATTAGGTTAGTTAGAATCAATGACATTGTGTAGATTGATGTTAGAATAGTTAAATTTTGGTATTTGGGTGACAAAAAATGGCATTTGGATGATTTAGGGCAAGAAGAAGCTGCTTCTTAAAAATGGTTGTTCGCAGATGGTTTCAGAAGTGCACATCTGAAATCTCCCTGGACCAGTTTCGAATGTGCACATCTGAATTCTTACCTGAGTTGATTTTTTTTTAAACCATCATAATAATAATTATAAATTAATTTTTCAGGAAGATGGCTGACAACCAAGACCCGAACAATCGTTCAAGATAAGGCAGACCAAGCCAGACTGCCTCTGCTCGGCGAGAAAAAGTTGTGCAATAGGTTATTAGGACTCGAGGACGGGATCGGGTACAACAGAAGAAATTGTCTAGAGGTTCTTCTTCTGCACTGAGGAGTCGTCTGTCTCAAGCGTCTACCTCTCGTGCGCATGAGCAGGTATTCGATGAGGTACAGGTTCCCGAGAAGTTTGCAGTACCCGATGGGAATGAGGTACCCGAGCATGTTGAGGTACCCGAATAGGCAATTGAATGGATGATTGAGTATTTGGGTGTTGATTCATATAGGGTAGCTGAAGACTGTAGAATAACTAATGGGTCGCATGCAAAGTTCTCCTCCTGAAAGAACTATATGAAGAGCATCTGATTGCATCAGTAGGGTCCGAGGATGAAGATGACGAGGTTTTTGTCCAATACCACTGAGATTGTACTTTATAGTGTTACCTCGTGATTTTGGTTGGCACATCCCTTTTTATGGACAAAAGTTTCTATTACATAGATGTGAAATACCTCTGGTATTTTATGGATCTGAGTACAGTTCGTGAGTGGAACATGGGGGTCCCATTTTGGTATACATGTACCAGAAGCTGAATGAAGCTTCAAACTGGAGGACGAGACATGTCATTGGTTCTTGCACACTCCTCGCGACACCTTTCATTTCAATTGTTACATTTAATTTATTTTTTATAATTTGTACTTACATATTCTATGATTTCTGTTTTAGAGTTGAATCATCTCTCACTTCCACTGGATTCATGGTTTCAAATTAGACCCGGTTTTTACTGCTGACATGCCAAGGGCTGCAAAGTATCTCTTCCATAGAGGGAATCATAAAGTGTCGCTTTACCGAGCGTATCTTGATCGTACTAAACATGATGACATCAAATGGACACCATTTGATGATTACAGGGATGTTATCTCATTCGACCTCATCTCATTATACTTTGGTTGACTAGCATGCGAGTTAAATCTTATGGTCGGGTATCTTCTGGAGCGGTGTATCCAACATTTTGGCTATGTGCAGAAGATATCGATATCTCCTTTTCAGACTGTTCCCTACACCATTGTCCGACGGGATCTCGGTGGCATCTTCCAGGATTGGAAGAATCATTTGGTGCCACAAAAGTATCAGATGATATTGGCATCTTAAAGTTGGTATTGTATAGAGAGTTACGTGACATGGTTCTTTAACGTGTCACACCCTATCATGACATCGGATGGTCCTGGACGTCCATCTAGGCCAGATTATGAGGACCTCTTGGAGAAACGGTAGGTCGAGGATGATCATGCCACTGATCTCTTGTTGATCTGTCAGCGGATACACCTACTTGGGCAGAAGGCATTGGATTTCGATATCATCGACAGGGGTGGTCCTGAGGCGGTTGCCATCGTTGGGAGAATGGTTATAGAGGCATCTAGTGCGACACAATACAATAGATAGAGGAGGTCACAGGGGGTTAGGATTAGGCATACGTAGTAGCAATAGCTTATGTTTTGTTTTTTGTTTTGAATGTAATATTTTAACATTACGCACTTTCCGATAACTTATGTACTAAATTATGTTTTCCTGTGTCTGAACATCTAATCTAATCGTTATTATTGTATTGTTATCTTTGTTTCATATTTTTGAAATAATCTTTAAAAATTTGTTCGTTTAAAAGATAAGGTAATTGTTCTAGACTGGGTCTGCCCGTGGCCTAATCACTAGTGAGGCCCAATCCAAGCTTGTCAACATACAGCGTTGAGCAGTATACCCTCCGAGCACACCTCGATCGTGGGTATCTGGTCGGCTACGATTGCTTCCCGCTGGTGCCCGCGAGGAATGTCCCCGACGAGCGCACGCTCCCACCGAGCACCCTCCTCGTATGGCTGGCTTTCAACCTCTCCAGATTTCGTGGAGTCCTCATGGTCTCGGGAAGATCGCGTCTTTATCCTCCCTGTCTTGCGGAGGGCATTATCCAGGTAGGGGGCCACGTGCAGGTCCCTACTACTCACGTAGAACTTGGCAATCTCTTTTTTGAGCCTGTTTGATCAGCCCAATAAAGAGACCTTGGCCCAGCGCTAGGGGCTATAAATACCCTCTATTTCGATAGGGTCAGGTATTCATTCATTCACACTTACATTCATACTTGCTTGCTCATTCCGTCTCTCACTTTGCCATCAGAGTGTCTTGCAGGTACCCCCCGCCCCTCATCTCCTTCAAATCCAGCCCGAAGCCAGCTGTGACGGTCCAACTCTGATCAGGTACGATCAGTGGCGCCGTCTGTGGGAAACTAAGCTTCCTCGTCTTCTCACCGTTTAAAAGACAAAAGCTAACAATCCTCGACTGTCATGGCTAACCAAACTCAAGACAACCAGAACGTATGTGTCATCAACGTTAACAACAACATCACCAACAATAATGTCGGCCTCAACAACACCGGTACCACCAGCCATAATACGGTCCCTGGCATCAACATCCCCGGACCTTCTAACTACTGAGACGGAGCCACAACTTCTTCTTCATCAATCCCTCCTCGAATTGAAGAAGATCAATCAATTCCTCTGAACTATCCAGTCTTCCAATTCCACGAGGTCCCCGTCCCCGCCGGGACGGACGCCACGACCAGGGCACTATTCGTGGCGATTAACCAAACCAACTATCTCATCTTTTCCCAGGGGGAAAGACTGAGAGCACTCGAGGACGATCGAAGGCCCCCTAGAAAGGCACAGAAGACCTCAATCTCCTCCCCCTTGACAAGAGGAAGAGCGTCCCCGATCTCCCTCGCGGAGACAGAATCGGGGCATCTCTCGAAGCCCGTCGCCTCGACCACTCGAGCGATGACCCCCTTTGGAGAGGGAACCACTCGTCGATGCAGGAAGGCGCGACCATGGCCCCTCACGGAAAGAACGACGATCTCCCAGAGACATACAGGGAGAAACCATCAATGGTCACACCACTCGAGGAACGCTCTATGCGACCAGGGCTACCATGACCGCCACTACATCGGATCCCCGTCCCGCTCCTCGGAACGGAGTGACGAGGATGACCCCCGCGGTCCCTTGTCACAAGCTATCATGGAGGTGCCCATTCCCCCGGGCATGGAGAAGCCTCCCCACTTAAAGGAGTATGACGGCGTCGCCGACTCAGTCGACCATATAGACGGGTTCGAAGCCATACTGCACTACCACAACATCTGGGGACCAATCAAATGTCGGTTGTTCCCCACGACTCTGAGGAAAGCAGCTATGGACTGGTACAAAGGTCTCTCCCGGGGTCATTTACCTCTTGGCAAAACCTTAAGAATCAATTCATCAGCTCGTTCACTGCTTCGCGACGATACCCAAAGACCGAAGCAGCACTCGAGCCCATCGTCCAGAAACACGATGAGACCTTGAGAGAATTCATCAACCGCTTCAACCGGGAAGCCATCCAGGTCCCCTGCACGGACCATATGAAGAGATACTTGCTGGAGAGGGGGTTCCTCCCCGACACCGAATTCAGAAAAGTCGTGGGCATCGAACCACCCCAGACGTTTGATGCCCTCCTCGAAAAGGCCAGGGCCTACGTGGACTACGAGGAGAGAGAAGCGGCCAACAGAGCCCGAGACCTCAGAAATCGCGGATCCAGCAGCAATCCATGACAAGACGTCGCCCCTCATCGACAAACTGGAGAAAAGAGAAGGGACGATAAACCCCAGGACACCCGGGAACAAAGGGGACCCTCGGGGAGGTTCACAGAATACACTCCGCTTACAGCTTCCCGCGAGCATCTTAGCGGAGTGCGCAAGTAAAGATTTCAAGGATGGCGGCATCAAACGTCCCTGCCCAGCTCCTGCTAAACCCGAGGTGAATCGAAGCAAATAATGCCAGTACCACCGGAGCCACGGGCACCTGACCGAAGACTGCGTCCACCTCAAGGACGCCATTGAGACCCTCATAAAAGGGGGGAGACTTGCACAATATCGGTGTAACGACGCCCCTCATCGGGACGCCCGCGAGAAGATAGAAGCAGGAGAGGATTTCTGACCATCTGACGAGTCGGTTCCCATCCAGACAGCGTTCTCCGTCACAAAACCCGAGGACTTCTACGTCCCCGAACATCTGCAAGAACCTATGTCCATGCGCAGCAGGTGGGAACACTTCCCCTCCGCCATGGTCATCAATGGTGGAGGGTTCAATGATTTGACCATAAATTCAGC